CATGTTTGATATTATCGAATAGGGACGGGGTAGGGAACTTCTCCTAACCTCTTGTCTTTTCCATCTTCTTCTAAACCGACTCCCCCCCCCCCCCCCCCCGGCCCTTCCAACCTCTCGCTCCTAAACTTGACAAATCACCGACTCGGTATTACTCCAAAACCCCAGAGGTATGTGGAGCTTCTTCGTGGGGTTGATATAATGATAACGGAGTAGGCCTTGGCTTTTGGATGACATTCTCCACTTCACTGCGGGGATGGGAAGGGGAACCGAAGCATCAGGGCATCAGGATCAATCGACCATCAATGCTCCGTCTCTCACACCCTCGTATGGGTCCCGTATGTCGACAACTAGTCGGGAAGAAGGGCGGGGGGAAAGTCGGGAACAACGCACATCCTCGTCCGCTCTAGGAGAAAGTTTCGTCTCAGCAGAGAGGGGTGAGGGGATAGGAGACTTTCCCACTCGCCAGTCTTCTCTATTCTCATCCTCTTCGGCGTTCTCCTGTCTGAAAGATACGTACTGGGCTCGGCATACCTATACCGACTACTATTACTTATTACTTATTATTATTCCTCCTCCTCCTCCTCCTCCTCCTCCTACTACTACTACTACTACTACTACTACTACTACTACTACCACTGCTACCACTGCTGCTGCTGCTGCTGCTGTATCTCGTACACACTGTACAGACTATCAGAAGCCGAGAAGAAAGAAGAAGATGGCGAACCAAAGGCAAATCCAACTGTTTAATTTTCCGACAATGTAACTCTCCGCACTTTGAGCGCAAGCTGCACATATATACACAGCGACGCGCATCGTCTGGGGAAGGTTACGTACATACAGAGAGGGCATCCCGACGACAACGTCTGCTTTTTGCGGGGTTGGGGGAGGGAAAGTGGTAGACGAGATCTGGCACTTGTTTATCATCATCATTATTATTATTATTATTATCAATGTAATATCGAATGCCGTGACCGTCTACCGAGAAGTCATACGTCTATCTTCTCATGTGGCTAGGAAGACCGCATAGTCTAATATGACGACGTCAGAAAAAAAGGGAGGATGGAGGATTGGGGGGGGGGGGGGGGGTGGAGACCCGACCAGGGTATTATCGTATCATCATACTGACAGGTTGGGACCGATTCTATTCGTCTTACATGGAGGGTATCATGGTGTAAGAGTCCGGGAGTGCAGAGGCAGCGAGATGGATATTCGGTCGGTTGTTGCGTTTAAAGAGAAGATGGAATAAGATTGAATCCGACCAAATCTGAATCCGACCAAATCAGATCAATTGAGAAATTTACAATCTTGAAAATTTTTAGAAAACAAAAATTTTTAGAAAAAAAAAAATAGCAAGCCAAATACGTCCTGGTGCCCTTCTTGGCAAAGCCGGTCCCGCGTGCCGTTATAGCCGATTTAACCGATTCAACCGGCTCCGATCAATCAACCTGTTTTGAGCTTAATTGATCCAAGTCTGCCGGGTCTCTCTTCTCATAATTTTCCTTCCCCTCCTCTTCTCCTCTTGTACATCTTGCATATATACATGTATACTTCTCTCTCTACTCTCTATCTGCACCGAATATCACTTCCTACAGGTGATGCTTCCCTTTTCTCTTTCCTTTTCTTCTTCTTCTCAGGTACATCGTCGTCCCCTCCCCCTCTTCTCTGATACCTCTCCGACGGCCCTATAGTTTGTTGGGGTAGCGAAACCCGTCATCATCAATCACTCTACCCTCCCTCCATATAAAAGATGCACTACTGAATGTTGAGCAGGGTCCAGAATCAATATGCTCATTATGCTCACGCTCGCAGAACTCAAATCGTTCATCAATCTAATGGTGAACGCCCCTTTCCTTCTTCTTCTCCTTCTTCCTCTTCATATAGACAGCATCGTAGATTGGTCACACATCACGATAGGATCCCGCCTGCCTGCCCTCGGGCCTCGGCAGAGCTCTCAGTCACCTCCATCCCCAGCATTGACCCTTTAGTTGTTGGCAGTACGGAGTACAACGTTGCACACCATCTGGGGTCGTTGTTGGTTCCCTTTCATCCTCGGCATCTAGTATCCCGATTGCCGACATCCCGAGAGAAGAGAAGATGAAGACGGGGAGAGGAGATGGTGTTCCAATCAATGATATACTGTGCGGGTGTTGGCATGTTGGTTAATTCCCTTTCGATCCATCCATCATCCACCATCCCCTTCTTCAGCTACCCCTGGAGTGAGTCTAGGGAGATGCGTCGTAGGAGGGGGGGGGGGNCTTCGATTACGACAAAGGGGCTCGAAAGGAAGATACGGAGAGATGGAGATGGAGAGGGAGACAGAGGAAGAAGTTTTTAGAGGGGGGGGGGGGGGAAGGGGGAAACAAATGTAGAGAGAAAACTAAGAAACGAGTCTCCAAGTAAGCACCAAAAGAGCGGAATAAGCACCCAGACTCAGAGCTGTGAGAAGGGCGACCGAGTTCCCGCTGGTGCGGAACTTGGGCGTGGGGAGGCCCTCGCGCGACTCCGCGGTGAAGAATTGCCTCTGGCCCTCGTACCGCCTGTACGCCGCCAGGACGAGGATGGCGGCGCCGTAGATGGCCAGAAGGGCACCTATGGCGTAGAACTCGGCGGTGAAGATCTTGAGGATGACGAGGGAAAAGGAGAATTGGCCCAAGGCGGTGCGGACGTAGGCTCCTTCGAATGTGCGTTGAGCGGCGCGGATCTCGACGAGTCTGTGTGGGATTCGGGGTTAGTTTCGGTGAGAAGAAATCCGAATAGGTAAAGATGAGATAAGAGATATGAGCATTGAGAATGCAGAAGAGAGTGAAGACTAGAATGAGAAGGACGGTGAGAAGGGAAACATACTCTGGCCCTGTCAGGACGACGGATCGTGCCCTGTGCAGCCGCAGATGCAGATGTTCCTCTGGGTGTGGCTATGCAGAAGAGTGAGTCGGCTAGTACGGTATCACACAGCCCGGCGGAGATGGGGTTTTGAGGGCGGGAGTTTCCCGTGGATGAATCTGACGTACCTGGAACATCTTCTTCTTTCAGAATTGGATAGGATTGAATCAGGATATCATCATGTCTGTTCATGGCGTGGCTGTGGAAGCAATAAGGTGCTGTGATGGTGCAATCCGGGAGATTCGAGAACGAGTCACGTGATGGGTTGGGACACGGCGATGCTCGAGAGGGAATTTACCACTCATGACGATATACAAATCAACATGAAGTCTGGCAGGGAAAAAACACATCGGCATCTTGACGTCATTAAGCACTTATCGGGTAGAATGGAAGGGAATGTCAGACAATAGGGGTCAGATATGCAAGAGGTACTGCTGCATCGACAACTTTGATGGTGGGCTTGATGCCTGGTAATACGACGAGGATATGGATTGTCATGAGTGCCTTGGTATATGCACGACTGAACCTTGCTGATTCTTCCCATCAATGACGTCTATCTCACACGCTGAAGGAATCCACCACAGCGTTGAAATCCGTATGCGGATCATAGATGGGGATGACCCATGGATCGATGCTGCGCTGCCACACGAGGCTGTGCTGGATACCTATTTTCTGCCTTGCACCAGCCACCCACCTACCGCGGGGTGTTTAGTGGTCCCCCCCCTCCCGATCTAGGCTCCGGCCTTCGTCTGGCCCCGTCCCCCACAGCCTAGGTGTTGAAAGTTGAGAAGACGTTGGGACGGAAAGAGAGAGAGGAGAGAGAGGAGAGAGAAGAGAGAGAGGAGAGAGAGAGAGAGAGAAGAGGGAGAGAGAGAGAAAACGCTGGCAGCAAAGTGCACATCGGTGAGCACAATCATTGTCCAATCTTCATCCAATACCATCATCAATCACCCTTTAAGAAACCTCGTAAGCATCGCCGGTGGATCTACAGATATTGCCGATTTCCGATTTCCATCCATCCATCTTCCCCCCCCCCTCCCCTCCGTTCTCTCGTCTTTCCATCGCCTGGAACGCTAGGCCAAACTCAAAACATGTACTTTGCCAGATATCAAGTCAAGTTGTGGTGATGGTGATATATATAACACCATTGCAATTCATCAGGTGCCGAGCCGAGGCCCGTTGCATGCCAGAGTCACATTGACATTGCGAAACAGGGCAGGGCAGCCCGATATGGGAGCCGCGATTCCGTCATGTATTCTGTTCCGGATTGCTATACACGTACATGCATACAAGTGCACATGTTACGTGGCAGGCAGCAGTACTCGACGACACCCTCGCGGTTGACCACCCGTGGCAATGAGATGGGTGCACGAAAGGCAGCACTTCAGATAGATCCCAATCACACCCAATAGCGTCCCCATATCTCGTAGTCCTGCCTCGAGCCGCGAAAGGTGAACGGCACCTCCCTGACATCCTGGAAGCCCTCGCTCACTCGCGGCTCCTTGTACCGTGATGCGAAGCCGTGAAAGGCCTGTGCCGGCAGCCCCTGCCGAGCTTCCGGGTTCAGCGCGGCATTCTGCGACCGGACCGCGTCGTTGTGCTCGCACACATGCAGCGGTGTCTTGAACCAGACGCATCGGATCGGTACTCCCATCTTCCGCGCTACATCGATCCACACGGCCCGCGTGTCGACGTCGGCATTTGTGTTGTCTATAAACAGGGTTCCTCACCCCCAAAAGAGAGAGGGAGAGAGAGAGAGATTAATAAGCAGATGGAAATACGTTGCGGAGTCAGCCGCAATGTGTGGAGAGCTCTCACGATACCCGACCGTCACGCCGTAGCTAGTGGTCAGCTGTCGGGGAGGAGGAGGGGGCGGGACGGGAGCCATGAGAGAACATGCACGCATGCCGTGGATACGCAGACAGCCTCACTTACCAATCACGATGGAGTCACCCGCGGACAGATGCTCCCGAGCCACCTTGACACACCTGTCGCGGCTTTTGAGCCGGTCTTGGTTGATGCGCTGGTAGCCCAGAGGCTCGAGATGGTTCCAGTAAAACGTGCTCTTTCCCGCGCCGGGTGGGCCGCAGAACAGCACCACGTCCTGGTCATCGGTCTTCTCGAACAGCCTTTCCGTCGTCTTGTCGGCTGCCGCTGCCGCCGCTGCCGACGCTGCCGTATCCTCGTCGTAGGCAAAGTCGTCCAGGTCAAAGTCGCGCGCAAACTCCCGGGGCTCCTCGCCCAGGAAGAACTCCTCCGGCGTCTTGAATGCCACGCCGACGTTGTGGGCAAAGTTGCGGTCCGAGCAGCTGAAATCTCTGCGCGTCGCAGCCACCGCGGCGCCGCCGTCTCCCTTGGCCGGCGAGGCGATCCGGCCGGCCGCGTCGCCCACAAAGATGCTCCGGGCCGTGTCGACCTTGTCGGCCGGGATGTCGTAGTCCTTGCATATCTCCGTCCACATGCCCGTCCTGGGCTTGCGGAAGCCATCCTTGGCGGTGGCCGCGTAGATCGTCGTGGGCAGGTCGAGGTTGGCGAGGACGGCGCTGCACTTCTGCTTGAACTCGCCGACCCGCTTCCGCGCCCCGGCCCTGGGCCCCTTGTAGTCGGCGTCGAGGTGCAGCGTCAGCCCGGCCTGGTTCGACAGGATCACCACCCGGTAGCCCTGGTCGTACAGCTCGCGCAGCCTGGCCGGCACCCTGCCGTCCCACCACTTCCAGTCCGTGCCGCTGCTCGCGTGCCTCTTGCCCGAGCTCGTGGTGATGAGGGTGGAGTCGAGGTCGAAGGCGGCAATCTTGCGCCGCGCGTCCCTCTCGACGGCCGCCGCGGCATCCTCGGGCTCGTACCGCGCGACCAGCAGCGTCGCCGGCCCGCCATCCGCGGGTGCCCTCTCGGACCAGACGGTGCGGTCTCTGGGCTTCTGTGATGCCGGCTTGAAGAAGTTTGCTACCGCATTCTCTGCAGTCCCGTCAGCACCGCGCGCGCGGCCGGAGAAGCGTGCGGAGGGGGGGCTCCTCACTGGTAGTGCCGCTCTGCACCCTACGCTTGAGAGGCGGTGGTGAGATCGGGCCGTCGGCAGCCTTGCGCTTGCCGGGCGGAGACGGAGGCGGAGCGGGAGGCATGTCGAATTCCACCGACGCAGACCGGCCATGGAAAGATCTATTCTGCTCTGATATCCCTCTCCGGGGTTGGGCAGAGATGTGGTTCGTTCGGAATGCTCAGGTGAGATGGTGACGCGCCTCCTCGTCGCAGGGCGAGACTGACGCGGGGTCACGTGCACGCAAGTACGTAGCTTCCCCCCCCCCCCCCCCCATCGCCATCACCACCACCTTCAGACCTCTTGCACATTCATCATCGACGATTCCATGATTGCTGGAATGAATTCGTCCAATCTCCTCCCAATCCACTCACGATATCTTCAGGTAGAAGTGAATTGACTGCAGAGTCGCTCCCAACTGTACCGTGCCCGCAACGTAGTTGGCCAACCGGTCCGCCCCGGTTCTTTACCTCTCTTCCCTGCTCACATCCCACGACCGTTCAACCGGCCATGTACGAGCTCTTCCTCACGGCGCTCGTCGAGGCCGACGACTTCAATGCGGCATGCTCCGTGCTCGGCGGCCTCTGCGGCATGCCCCCGTGGGAGAGCGTCATGCGCGTCCTCTACTTCCAGGCTCCCCCGCAGCCGCCCGGCTTCGCCAACCACAGCAGCCTGGACAAGCCGATCCGCAAAGACACGGCCTTCCTGCTCAAGGAGCTGCATCAGAACCTGAGCCGTCTACCGTTCATCCTCCAGACGCGCTACGAGGTCGACAAGGACCGAGCCATGGGGGAGTCGGCCGCGCCCGCCGACCTCAACAGTCTACCGGGTATGCTGCGATGGACCAACCTGCCTGATCCGCCCCAGGGTCGACCGCACCTCACCCAGCGGAAGATGGTTGAGGTGTGGGAGCAGAAGAATCTCCAGACGCTCATGAGCGACAATAACTACGAGTACGTCTGCCTCCCTACTCTCTCTCTTTTTTGTTTTTCCTTCAGCCGTCCTTGTCTATGTAGGGTGCTCGAGCTTTTCGGTCTGATCAGGCTGACCGAAACATGGCACAGTTTCAAGACAGAGATGGTAGAGGACATGTACCGGTTCTATCGTGATCATATCGAGTTCTGCCTCTACCGGCAACTCTTTGTGCGTCCCATATCAGACTACGTTCCCATGGAGACACGCACGACCCCGCCATCCCCCCCGCTGGAGCGCCTGCCTGCGTTCGACTCCCTCACCCCCGTCGACGCCCAAGGCAGGTGGATCCTGTTGGTCAAGACGCACGTCCTGAATGACAACAGGCCTGAGGACCTTCGCAAGGCGCACGAGGAACTCAATGCTATCCGCTCCGAATTGGACGGCGTGTTCGACTTTAGGTCGATCGATCGCAACGTGCACGACCCCCGGGTGCCCAGAAGGCAGCAGGGGGTTCAGGTGCTGCCGCAGAAGGTGACGCTGGGCAAAGTCTAGGTATCGGGGGCAGCGGAGCGAAGTTATCTGCATACGACTCACGGTTATTTCGAGCATTACACGGAGCACGGGGCACGGGGCACGGGGCATGGGGCATGTTGCCTGACGAGCTACATCTTGGTACCACCGGCGGCTTGACTTTTTTGTTTTTGTCGACCAAGCACAAAATCAAGAGGAAGAATAAAAATCGAGGTACGGTACGGGAGGAGAAGAGTTGGGAGAAGATTAATTATATTATCATCCAATAACACGCCAGCCCGGTGTGAATTATGTTTTGTTCCCAGCAAATTGATTAGATACAGGTATACATTATATGAAGATGGCGCCCCCCCCCCCTCTGATCTTGGACACCGAGCAACGCAGTCGACGAGGGATTGGGGAAAGGAAAGAGGACAGTTCCCCCCTCAAGGCGGTGGGTAGAAGTCGTTTAAGCGAGGCCGAGAGCCTCGAGGACATCGGTGACGCCGAGGGCATCCTCGAGGCTGGTGATGGCGCCGCCAGTGGCGCTGTCGAGGAAGGCCGTGACGGCCGTGATGCCGAGACCCTCCTCGAGCATGGCGACGGCCTCACCGATGGCCTGGATGGTTCCGGGGGAGGCGCCCTTGTCGGAGAGACCGAGGAGGTACTCGGCGAAGCTGACACCGAGAGCGTCCTCGAGCTATTCACAGCGTCAGCCTGGATATTTCCCGAGGGAATCCCCCCGGACAGGTTTTCCCGGGACAGGGGGAGGATGGACGGCATACCTTGGTGAGACTGCCGCCGAGGAGGGCGTCGAGCTGCTCGGTGACGGCGGTGACACCGAGACCTTCCTCGAGCTGAGCGATGGCGTTGCCGACGTCGGTGATGAGGGAGCGTTTCTCAACCACTGCGGTTCCGTCAGGTCAGTCTAGGCTAAGCTTGGCAGCGGAAGCAGGTCAGGGGCATGGGCGTCTCAACATACCGGCTGAGGGAGCGGCAATGGCGGAGCCGGCGAGGGCGGTGATGGCGAAGAAGGAGAAACGCATCTTGGCTGATTTCGGGTAGGAGGGAAAGTTGTGAGAGAAAGAGGTGGAATCGTGTAGGGAAGTTTGGAGGGGAGGAGCAGGAAGATGAGCTGTGTTGGATCTGATGTGGGATTGGGAAGAAGGAGGAAGAAAGGGGGGGGAGGGTATGGATATGGATATATATATACCAGGAATACCAAGGCAAGCAGCACGCGAGTCAAAGTTGGAGGAGGAGAAGATCAGCACCCTCTCGTCCGGGAGGGACTAGATGTGAATTCGGCCTCAGGAGTCGGTCATGATCATTCCAATACGTATCGGAAACTGTAGGTGCCCTATCTATCTCTCGAGGCCGGGAGGGGGGGGGGGGGGGGGGGGGGGGGGGGGGGGGGGGGGGGGGGGGGGGGGGGGGGGGGGGGGGGGGGGGGGGGGGGGGACGCGTGGGAAACGTGACGTCGGGGCGGACGAGGTGATACAAGCAGCACGACGTCAACCGGGACCTGCATGCTGCCAAGAAAGCAGAGATATCGAACCGTACATACAGCACCTATACGAGACATGGACCACGTTACTGGTCTACGTCGCATCCCAAGATATGATGCCGGAGAGCGCAGGCCCAATATCAGCGTGACAAGAAAGGGCAGTCACATGGGCCCGGAGTTGAGGAGGGAGAGAACCTTATCTGGTGATCGACAGCCCTTCCCTAGTCATGACCCGCCATGGACGGTAGCAACGATGCCTACGAGTAATATTACTGTGGTAGAGACGTATCATGAATATGAATGAATAATACCTTGGTCTGCCTGAGCGTACAGGTAGCCAGGGGGGTGGGTGAGTTGGCCAGTAGTCCGTCCGATAGGTTCATGCAGGTGAGATTGCGTCCCCATGTCCGATGGACTCTGCGTACGCTCAGCCGGTAACTTGGCCGTATCCACTCCCGAGGGGAGGTGGAAACCTTGCGGACTGCCGATCACTGGGAGACTAGAGCAGTCAACGTCTTGATAAAGGAAAAGGAAGAAGAAGGAGGAGAAAGAAAAAAAGGGAGGGGAAGGCATTTGTCATAGTTTTTTGTTCCTCTTCTTTTCTGCTGCTCTCGTTCCCTGTCCCTGGGTCTGATAAGGATTTCAGGTCAAAACACCACTCCACGTTTTCACATGTCTCTACCTGACATGCATGCGGTCATCCCGTCTTGGAAACCATGTTTTGTTTTGTTTTTGTTTTTTTTTTTAAAAAAAAAAGAGAAGAAGTCGAGTATATCATCGTCGTACTCTTTTGTACAAGTCTTTGTAAAATGAATAATGATGATGATAATGATAATGACGATGATAATGATGATGATAATAAAAGTAAAACATGATAAAAGATGGACTAAAAAGTTATCGTCTTCCCAACCTTGACATGACTTGATACTCAATCTGCCCATCATTCATCATTGAACCCCCCCCCCCCCCCCCCCCCGAGAAACATAAGCTTATCTGGCCCCATGTCCGTGAACCTAGGGATCAGCGTAGATCAGTGGACAAGACGGGGGAGGCACCTGGGAAAGAGGTGGACGAGATGACTACGAGTATGGCGATACGATCGATTGGAGGATTTGGTGTCTAATCACCGTCTTGTTTCCCCGTGGCATTGGGTGGGCAATTTATCTTACCTCATATCAATCGCCTTCCTCTAAAGAGGCTGATATGCAGGGGAGGGGCAGGGACCGATAACCACCACCACGTCGGGAAAAGCAAGCACTAGCACTAGCAGTAGTGGTGGTGGTGGTGGTGGTGGTGGGTGCCGAGCATGAGTAGTAGTCGTGCACGGGCAAGCTTAGATAGACTAGTTCTCGTAGTCATATCAGCTACCCTCCTTCTTGAGCTCGGTGTTTTCTTGTGAGGAACCGGGTGCTGGTGCTGGTGCTGGTGCTGGTGGCTACAGTCACGTCCAAGTGACTATCATGATCTGAGCAGAGATGGAGACACGGACTTTTTCTTTTCATCATTATCCCGCATGGGTCGCTGCTCGATTCGCTCATGACTACAGAGTAGTCTGTATTGATGCTCGTATCTCTCTATCCTCGTTGAGTATGTATATGTATATATATATAATTAAATTAATAAAAAAAAAGGCATAAGCCACGTCTTAGAATCGACCCCTTCCCTCATCTTAGAGCCATACATGATACATACCACAGAGCCATGATACCACAGAGCCATGATACCACAGAGCCATGATACCACAGAGCCATGATACCACAGAGCCGGTCATGCAGCGTCCCCTCTCACCTGTCTTGCAAACCATCAGTCGCACACTTCACCCGACGCCCTCCCCTCTAGGAGGGAGGGGGGAGGGGACAGGGTAGAGCGGAGAGCGGAGCGATCACGACTGCTCTATCGGCGCCGAACTCGGCCACCAGACCACACGAGGGCATCTCTACCGGTGGCCTCGTCCGTTACGTCAGACGGTCCTTTTTTTTTTTTTCGACGAGCTTGAGAGTGGTCAGAGTTTCAAGAGGGACGTAGCGTAAATCACTGTCAGACAATGTGCGTAATATGCTAAACCAGGCTTATCATGCTCATCTCCTCACGTAGGAAGACTCCACTGTTTTTTTTTTCTCCTCAACTCTCGTCCCTCTCCATCATTTTACCCCGGGTTCATGGTGTGGGGGTCGACCAAGCTGTCGGTCAGCCGGGTCGTCTTAGTGCACGTTGACAAGCGAATCGAGGCTCTGGGAACAAGGTACCGCTAGTTGAAGGGGGGGAGGGGGCTGAGGATATCCGGGATTGCATCTATCGAGAATGTGGTTGCTGGGTTGGAAGGGAGTTGTCGGGATGAGCAAGGTGGCTAGATCGGATGGACTCATTGATCTTGCTCCTGTGAATAAAAAAAGAAGCATCCTTCTCATTTCTTCTCATTATGGAGGAGCCCGAATCACACACCGGGTCGAGAAATAGAAGGGAACGGTTAGAGGAGCACACGGGCAAGGTATCATTGTTATTACGATTACCATCGTCATGACATTGGAACCTCGAGGCCAGGCCATACGAAATACGCCTCTTTTTTTTTTTTTTTTTGCTCTCATGTTCTCCTTGATAATATAGTCCGTCCTTCTTGCTCGATAATCATCAATATAGTATTACTCATTACTTATCTTGTGTCTCCTCTACGGTTGTCGATATCCGTCCTCTCTGCCGAGTACATGGCTCTGACATAAGTCATCCTCCTGTCCGCTCGTCCATTTCCCCGGTACGTAATAATGATGATGATAATAATATATATATATATAATGTATATATGTATATATGTATGTATATATGTATGTATATATGTATGTACTGTACAGTCAAACATTCCACACTCAGGGACCCACGGCGCGGGTGAAACCTTTTCTTCTCTTTCTTCTTCTTTTTACTATCTCACATCTCCACCACCAAGAGGGAAGTATGTGTGTGCACGATACGTGGATGCGAACCTGTTATGTAAAAGATCATGGCAACGGCAACAGATTATAGGAGCACAACTTGGTGCATGGCAAGCATTGCAAGCTTAACCTTGAACGGACAAGAGTGCAGCGGAGTGAGTCGAGCGAAGTGGTGGAGCATTATTATTATTGCTGAGTAGAGCAGGTGATGCACGCGAGTGAAGGCAGGTCAAGTCAAATAGAGTAAATGAGGCAAGTAAAGTATCCAACTCCATCATGCATCCAATACATTAAAGAAAAAAGGTACCTGTACCAGTTAACGCCTTCCGATGCTGTCATCCGTCTGCACTGCGTCTAAGACACCGTCTCCTTGGTTTGGCGTGGAGGGAGAGAGCTCTGAAACGTCTCCTCCCGCCATGGAATCCAAAACGTCCCCCCGCCATGGAAAAACCTACCCCTTGAAATGAGGGTAAAGATGAGGTGATAAAAAGGAGCGAAGAAAAGAAATCTATATACATTCCCATCCACCGTCATGGAATTAGACAGTATACACACACACAAGTTTTCTTGGTCTGAAGAGGAAAAAGTGAAAGGGAAAAAAATCAAGTCGCTGTCATGATACCGTTGGGGCTTATTGCTGTTCTGCAGTAGAAACAGATGAGATATAACGTGAAAGAGCAGAGAGAGGGCAAGGTGAATTAAGGGGGGGGGGGTTGGGGGGAGGAAAGTCGTCATAAGAGTGTTTCATGATACACATCATCGCCTCAGAACCTTCTCGGCAAGATTTCTCCAAAACTTGGAACCGTACTTCTCCTCGCTGTGAGACCGCTCCATGACCTGAGCGCGGTGCATCGGTCCCACGATATCCTCGTCGCCGCGGGACGGGAACTTGCCCTCGGCACTGAGCATGCGGGGCACCGCGCTGGGGAGGTTGTCCTCTATGCGCTGCCACTCTGCGCCTGCGGCCACGGCGTCGTCGCTGTTGGCCGCCGTCGCCGCCGCGGACATGGCGGACGGCCTCATGGACCAGAGGATCGCGCTGGCGCTGTCGGACCGGCCGCGCCCGCGCCCGCGAGACTGAGCGCGCGAGGTGCTGAAGCCGCGGGAGCGGCTACCGGCTGGGGCGGGAGAGGTCGTGGAGTCGGCGGTGCCGGTGCCACCACCGGCGGCCATCGTGGAGGTGGCAGGGATGAGGCCGGCCGCCTGCTTGACCGCCTGCTCGTGAATCCTACGCCACTTGCCGTCTGTCTCGGCCCACTTGGCCTCGGTGAGGCCGTAGATCTTGCTCGTCTCGCCGTAGTTCTCGCCCGTGCGCACCAGGTGCTTGGTGTAGTTGACGCGTGCGGCGTCCCAGTCCTCGCGGAAGCGTGTCATGGTCTCGGTGTCGAGGGAGACCGGCTCGTACGGCGGCGGGTTGATGGTGAAGTTGGCGTGGCCCAGACGGTCCGACCACTCGTCGTACTCCTGGAGCATGTCCATGTCGGACATGCCGATGGGGAGGTCCGTCGGGTTGGCACCCGTGTTGCTGAAGCCGCGGCGCAGGGACGAGGTGGAAGGCTTGGTGTTGAGGGGAGGGCGGCCGAAGTTGGACGCCGGCGGCTGCTGCTGAGGCTGCTGCTGGTGCGGCTGGTGGGGAGCCGCGGGCAGCTGGTACTCGAACACGTCGGTGACGGAGCAGGGGGGGGCAACCGTGGGCGACTGCAGGGGAGACTGCAGGGGAGGCTCGGGCACACTCGACTCCGTCATCAGCGGGGGCAGGAGCGGTGTGGAGGCCTTTTCGCGGTCGCGCTCGAGAGCAGCCCGTTGGGCGTCGTCGAGGTCGTAGTCGGTGTCGGCAAAGGAGTCGAAGCTGTCGACGCTGTCGTAGGCAGAAGCGGACGGGTAGCCGTAGACCGTGTTGGCGGCGCCGAAGTGGCCACGGTTGGGGGAGGAGATGGACGAGGATCGGCTAGAGGGCACGCCAGAGGGAGCCACGCTCACGTCCGTGGCGGAGGGCGAAGTAATGGCAGCGGCATGGTTGGCGCCGCTGCGTCCCCTGCGGCTAGACCTCCAGCGGTCGATGCTGGCGTTGAGGCGGGGGCCAAGGCGGGAAGTCAGACTCGTCGAGGTCAGGTCGGCGAGCTCGGGTCTCTTCGAGGCGGACGACTGGCGGCTCGCGACAGGGAAGTCGACGTCGTCGCTGCCGAGGCAGGCAGCATCGTTATAATAGTCAAAGTCCGGGACGTCGGGCGTGGCGGTGGCGGCAAGCATCAGGTCGTTGATGAGCGTCTTCTCGGTGCTCTTGCGGTGGTCGCAGGGCTCGTCGCACAGACAACTGTACAGGCCGAGGGCGTCATGCTCGAGCACGAGGGTGGCATCCTCCTCGTCATCCCGCTCATAGGGCTCCTCCTCCGCGACGTCAGGAAGCTGGCATTTGCTCGACCTCTTGGAGAGAGGCTGCGACGATGGCAGCGGAGGCAAGGTTGGCGGCACAGATTGCTGCTGCTGCTGCTGCTGCTGCTGCTGGGTTGCTTGTTGCTGTGGTTGCTGCAGCTGAGGCTGCTGCTTCTGAGGAGGCGTAGGACTGTCGTGCGGTGGAGATAGTTGTGTGAAGGAGATGTCGAGAGAGGAAGAGGAGCTCGAGCCACGGAAGTGGCCCCTTGCGGAGAAGGTGGGCGTGACGGGGGAGACGATGTCGGACGAAGAAGAGTTGTTTGTGTATGAGACGTACGGGAGAGCTGCAGCGGTGGTGGCATCATCGTAATAGTGATATTGTTGTTGGTGATCGACGATTCGCTGCTGCTGCTGCTGCTGCTGCTCTTCTACCAGCTGCGGTAGCAGAAGAGGTCTCAGTTGAGGTGCCATGGCAGCCTTGTGGGCTGGAGCAGCCACGAGCTTGCTCGTGCTGGATTGAGATGTGAGGAGAGAGTATATCCGTCGAGTTTGAAATCGTATTCTCTCGATTGTCGGAAACGGCGTCTTGTCTTTCTGGAGGGACATGTAATGTGGAAGGGAAGAAAGAGGGAAAGAGGGAAGATGGTGTGTGGCGGGTAGGAATATGTAAAAGAGGAAAAGAGGTTCCAGAATTTGGAGAGGGGGGGGGAGGAAGACTCAATGGGCGCCGGTGCGCCGGGAGCTAAGGTGCCCGAGCCTGGGGCTTATGGAGCTTGGCCAGACTTTTTTTATTTTTTTTATTTTTTTTCTTCTTCTCTTTTTCTCTCTCCCTTTCCCTTTGGCCCTTGTCCGCTTGTCAAGGTGCGCCGCCTTGGGTAGGAAAGAGGGTCAACAAGGGTCAAGACCGAATGAATGGGGCACTGCACCGGAGAGAGGGTCTCAAGGTAGAGAGGCCTGGTAGAGGCCTGGTAGAGGCCTTGGGAAGCAGGACGGTCGATGGCGGTCGATGATGGGTAGAGTACATGTAAGTGGAGAATCGATGGGGGGTCGGGGGTTCAATTGGATGCGAGTATGTACATTATCCTTGTACTCTTGTATTGCTGTACCTCTACACTACACTCCCATTTGTTCTCTTGTTCTCTCTTGTTGACTATTATTATTACCACCCTGTACGAATTACGCGGTGACTTCTCACATGTACCCTTGTACTTGTGGACCCCCTCCTCGGGTCAAAAAGGTGAAATGAACTAATCCGCACACCAGGGGCGGGGGGAAGAGACAAGAGGGAGGAAGAGGAAGGTCCTTTGACGATGGCGAATGAGCGAGTCGTGGGTTCCGGACTCTAGTTCCCCCCCCCCCCCCCAAAGGTTGCGGTTCCCGGCTGCTTGGTTTTGGCCGATTCTTGGGTCGGAAGTGTTCCCCGACCAAGCAGAGCCCGGATACGGCCCATGGGCTCCCCGTTGTTTCCCTGGTGGTCGGTATCACTTTCTGGTAGATGTGCTCATGTTCATTACGGCTGCTCCGTACGAGCAGTATCATCATTACCGCGAGTATCGTTACCAGCGTTATTCTGCGGCCTTGTATATAGTGTTGGTTCGTGAGAGTACAGGTTACAGGTTGATTGTTGGTGTTTGGTGTTTGGTTGTGACAGGATGGTCCACCACCAACAATGGGGTTGGGAGGCAACAAGAACAAACAAAAGAAACAAGAGAAACAGGCCCTACTCAACACATGGACAGGCACAGGCACCTGTACGTTGCTACCAGCAGTAGTACCTGCTGGTAGGACTAACTAGAAAGGACATACAGATAGGCACTAAGCGAAATGTCGCCATGTGTGACTCCTCATTCCGTCTAATCAACGGATCAAGACTCGGCCTCAAGACTATTACCATTTTAGCTACTACGATGGACAATACTACTACTACTGCTGCTACTACTATTACTACTACTACTAACTACTGGCTACTGACTACTGACTACTGACTACTGACTGCTGCTGTTGCTGATCGTGTAGTGATATGACTAGATTACCAGTAGCGCTCGCGGTGATGAGAGTAGGGAGTCACAAAAGCAATCGAGAACAGGTCAATAGGCAGTGGGCACAAAGCGACGGACACAAAGCGACGGCTATACAGATAAGGTGACAGGCATAAGGTGCCGGACAGGTTAGGTGCAGGTCCCGTGTCGCGGCCCGTGTTGATGGCCATTGCCACTGACTGTTGCTGCGTCCGACTTTATGTCTGTTGTTGCCGCTGTCGCTGCCGTTGCTGTTGTTTCTGTTTGTTTTCGTTGTTTTTGTTGTTGTTATCAACGCACACACATCTCTCTACCAATCATCAGACGGCCAAGGCAGTTCTACCAGAGTACACGATACCCCTCCTCGCACCCCCCTCTCAACCTTTGCAACGCGTACCGAGATACATGAACCCCCCATCAGGCCGCTGTGTCCTCCCATCCCATATTTACAAGTAAATTAAGAATTAAAAATTAAAATCAAAATCGAATGAAAAACCCTCCCCCAAGTTGGGCGCCCACGTCAACCTACAGATGGAAAGGGAAATTTTTCTGAAATGAAAAAGAAAGGTAAAGAGAAGAGTACGAGTATGACGAGAATTGGGTGTCGCAGTCGCTCCTCTCTTTTCCTATCCTGCACTTGCTCCCTATCTATTTCCATTCTTTACCATTCATTCCTACGAAGACGAGTACACTTGTATACAGGTACAAGAGTATCTGTGATGTAACAGGGTCAACCAAGGGTGGGATTCGAAATTAACGGCCCTTGCTGGCCTCCTAGGCCACGAGAGCCCAATTACTGTGTATCATCATGTCACTCACACCACATGCCAATGACGACGGCGAAACAGAGAATAACACGTCCTATCATCACTGCACACGAATTTGTTTGTCTATCCCTGCTCTCTCTCTCTCTCTCTCTCTCTCTATTCTTGTCAGAAAAAAAAAAAAAAAAACAAGTGGTTGATATATTTTTGCTGCCCAAAAGGCAAAGTGGTACTGCAAACCCCACCTTCAACGGTCGAGCGTTTGTCTGCGATTCAGATCAGACAGCTGCTTGTCATGGTCCTCACGTACACATGATTGCCCCTCTAGCTGAAAATTGATATCACGGCCAGCATGATAATACTACACGTGGAGTGACGAGATGATTGTCGAGCTGTATCCCCCGGCTTGAAAATCCCTCTACCGAGTGACGGCAGGTAATACGGTTTGTGTCTCTTCTTCTTCACATGTATGTCGTGTTCTTCCTACTCCCCAGGAATACGAGTAATAATATTCGATCGTCCAAACTGGTCTAGCGTTTCCTCTGCCATGACCATGCAAAACGCGACGATACCTTTTACCTTTTGCTGTCAGTGGTGCGGGGTGGGGAGGAAGCAGGATACCCATTCGGTAGAAGACAATGGAACAAGTTCCCCCCACTCTTTCCTCTTTTTCTCTCTGAAAAAACATGACAAAGACAAAAACAAAAACAAAAAAAGAGCAGCAGTCTTTACCAGGGTCGGATTCAACACCGACGACGACTAAAAGGGCTGGCTCCACACACACACCTCCTCGACTCACAGGTCGATGACCGGATGAAAAGAAGAAAGAAAAAAATAGTCTGTCCTCCGAAAAATGAAGAACATGCAGAGAGAGAGGTAGAGAAGACTACGTATACCGCTCGTCAGTAATATTCCCAAGCCACACTGCTCGGACCTTGCAGTAGCTCCCCTTGTTCTCCCCCTACTCTTTTTTCTTCTCCTCTCTTTCGTTCCTTTTTCAGATTCAGGTTTAGTGGCTCTCCCAGGGCTACCTTTTTCTGCTCACCAGTCGTCTCGGCGTATAGTATCATATCTGCTCTTCACAAGCATCGTGTCCCGCGATATTCCCACTACGAGTGATGCTTGCAGTGCTCCCAGTCACCATACTCCGTACGCGCAGCAGAGAATCCCAGCTCAAGCCTGCGTCTGATGACGGGCCAACGCATGTGGGCCAGCACAGCAAAGCACAGCAAGAATGTCACTAGTGATACCGTACTACGACTCGTGAGCAGCTAGGTCCAGGATGCTCGGTGATACAGATGATACTGACTCGTCTGCTAAGGACCGACTGGGCCCCATGTCATGACCAGAACCAGTCTCTCCCCCTCTCCCCCCTCTCACCTTCTCTCTCTCTCGTGCCACCCACAATGAGTATCTGGCCGACCCGGTGGGGGAGGAGATGGGGGAGGAGACCCGCCGCCCAAAAGTGCTGCCCGTACGGGCCATGTACGGAGTACGGAGTGCTTTTGTTCCGCTCGTGCCTTGCAGTGACACTCGGCAATCAGCATACATAGCTTCGACGTTCCGCCTCTGCGTCACTCCATATTGCTCTGCCTACAGGTCACAGTCGTGTTGACGATACCCTAGCAGTAGCCATCTGTACATGTACTCGCGAGCTCGCGAGCTCTACCTCGCGGACAGCGCCGACGTCCTCTTCAGAGTACATGTAATCATCTATCCGACGAACTCATCCCCTGTTCAGGATAGGATATGGCATGCGAGGAAACTTGCCTAGGAAGCAAAGGACAGCAAGGGAAAGATGGAGAGATGATAGCAGTACTCCGTAGGGTTTCGACGCCGTCGCCCATCCCACCCTCACTAGGTCTAGGACGTCCTTAGTGCCACTTCATGGCTGTCGGGCTGTGCCAGGGCCTCTCATACCCATACAGCGCTACGGGTACAGCCTACAGGGCCTCAGCACGTCTAAACGGGGCTTCGGGCAGTGGAAGGGATCCCCGGTATGTTTTTTTTCTTTCTTTCTTTTCTTCTTCTTTTTTTTAGGAAGGGGCCAAGTCGCCGTTTTGGGCTGTAGCGTTGACAGGCTCGTACTGCACGGATACGTACTAGTACTAATACCACTCTGAGCAGTATGCTCGTATTGAGAAGTTGCAATATTAATAGCACCCTTACGTACGAGTATTAAGCTGCTGCCGCGAGTCTGGATGGGAGGCCTGTACATGTACTTTGCCGTTTGCGCCGATGGGGTGGATGCCCCGGTTGCCTCGAATCCTTTAGCTTTGTACATGTATGCCCGGACTCTGGATTGAGGATATGATCCTCTGGAGGAACAGCATTCGATATTCTTACTGCAGTATCAGCGAGCAGTGCTCAGTAGCAGTAGCATATTGGAAACCAGCGTAACACGACATGTCAATATTAGAAATTTTTGCTCATATTGCCCTTGTCCTGTTCATATCAATTTTGGCTTGGTAATGGCTGAATAATACGAGTAGAATATCACATGTAAAACATACCAGTACATAGTAATCTGTACATATAGGTAGGTAATCCAGTCTACGGAGTACAGTACAACGCAAGAACAGACGATAAGACAGCACAGCCACATCGTCAGCCACAGACAGGACAGTAGAGATACCGCCACAAGCCACACTGCCACCACCGTTCGACCCACACAAGTCGCACTCACAGCTCTCTTCTCGGTTCATCTCCTCTTCTCTCGACTATGATGTATCCAGCCTACATGCATGTACGGTCTATCAACAGATACAATGCAAATTGTACCGGAAGATGAACACCAACTATAACCGACATCGACATGACAAGGCATCCATGACTGCACACTCTTTTTTTGGAGACGCACACTCTTCAACCGCCAATCCCTACCACATCCCCATCAATCTCCTCCGTCACACTGGATCACCCCGGTTGCAGCAGCTTGTGTACATCGGCGCCTATGGCTATGCTATGTCGGTGGTCGCCCGACAACAATGTCTGGCTGCCCTCAGAGGGTAGGCTCTGAGTAATGATGATGGTAATTGGCCCCTCGCTGCGTATCAACACAGGGTATACCCGCATCCATATGCGTCCCGCCTCTTTCCCGGTAACACAACGGTCGCATCGCAAACTGTCTCACGATGTCTCATTTGACGATACTCCATCACCAAACCAGGACAGAGGGTAGGGAAGCCTCGATTCTACACCGGAAAGCGGAAGGAGGGTGAGAGGATGTGAGAGGGTGAGAAAGCCTCGATGATGCGACGGCAATCCCTCTGACCAGCAGTCGAGTAAGCAGACAAGCAGCGAGATCGCCAGGCACAGCCCACGTCTGGCACAACTAAAAAAAATTTCAAAACGTGGCAAGCCGATCGACCCGCCCACACAGGAGCTCTTTTTCTTTTTGGAGGGGGGTTTCAAGCATCTCCCTTTACTTCTCCGAATTCAGACGCCCTTCTTCCTCTCTCAGCTTCTTTGGTTTACGGACATGGTATTACCTCACACCTAATCGAGGGGAGGAGGGGCGTTGCTTCTCACGGTCCTCTCCGTTCCTCTTTTTTTTTTTTGTTTTGCCGAAAAGACTGGTAGGAAAAGAAAAGAAACTTCATGGCTCGCATCGGGGTACCCCATCCTCGACCGGCTTGATTTGTCTCCGTAGTCTAGATGTGGAGAATGTAAGAAAAGAAAAGAAGAAGAGGAAAAAAAAATTGGGACGAATAAATGCCTCGAAAGCGGGATGAACAAGGGTATTCCGGGTAAAGATGGAAAATCTCTTAATAATGGGCAATACCATGACAACTCTGACCACCTCTTGGGTCTTCCTCCGGCTTTTCGGCGGTTTGGCGGACAGAATGCTAGTGTGGACGGTGTACTAACTACTAGTACTGTACGGAGTAGAACGACTTACTGACTCACCCTCTTTCTCTCTCCGTATCTTCTCCGAGAGAAAAGAGGAGTCTTGTCGCTGTCGCTGTCACCTGTCCACTTTCCACCGTTAGGAGAGGCAGCAGAAGAAGAACAAAAGGCGGACATACACAATCGGACGGGTATCACTCGACGTGGGCTCCTCTGGTTCGACCAAACGTGACCGCCCCACCGAGTTACGATGAAGTGTACGGAGTATGTATATGTAAATTACAAGGGAAAGGAGTAAGGGGGGGGTTAAGAGGAAAAGAACGACCCTTGCAATTGATGCCAGCGAATACGTGGGACGTCCTGAAGAGAGCCGCACACCACATGTACTGATCAATCCCATCGGTCGTTGGAGCCCATCTTCCCGGTCCTTCTGCCGTGTTACGCTCCCCCCACCCCCCCCCCCCC